TCTGTTCTCAGCTCCATAAGAGCGGGGGGAGGAGAAACAGCAGCACACTAATCTTCCCAGTGAAAGGTTGTGCAGATTGGGTGTTTCAGGACAAGTATGATCATTGGAGGAGAGCGCATGGAGTTCCAGCATAGCTAGAGAACTGACCACACTCTGCTCACATGCCTAGTGTGGTCAGTTTAAATAGGAAAGCAGAGGGACTGGCAGGAACACCAGGGATTTCACACAAAGGAAGCAATATAAAGAGAGCAGGATACTTTTTCATACAAGTACATGGTACAGCAGTTACATATCAGGAACATGAAATGTTGGGTTTATACATTCTTTAAGGGCAAGAAGAGAAATGATGTGGAAGGGAGCCTGAAACTCCATGTATTGGCTCAAAAAGGGAACCCGTATTTTTCAAAATGTTATATTCTTTTAGTCTTAGCTGCAATTGTAAAAATGTGTACGAAACCATTACAGATTCCTTTTTAATTCCTTTTATTTTAAGAGCAATAATGATATGCAAAGGTTATTATTCCCCAAAAACCAGTTAGTCCGCAGTAAGCAGATCACTTAAATATTAATTCTGATCAAGTTTTATTGATTATTGCAGCTCTGTGTCTGTCCCATTTGCCTTCCCAAGCCTATATTCTTTAATACTGGACACATGATATACTGCAGTGCAATGACACTGCTAGAGGCATGACTGAAAAATACTTTAGCAAAGATAGATAAATGTGAATAAAAGGGAAGATCTACTGGAAATTAAAGTAGAACTATGGGTAGTGTGTCTATAGCATTAATAGAGCAGTTGTTGTTTTTATGAGTCACCCATGTAACATAATTCTATTATCTGTTGATCCTGCCAGTAGTAGTGTGTTGTTCCACTTCCTTTACCAGGGTGACAACCCTGTTTGACAGTGTTATCACCCTGTGGAAAGGATAAGCTTGCCATACACATAAAGGTGATTTTATTTAACTTACAACACCACCATCAATCCCGCCCCGCAAGCCAAAGTCCTTGGCGTCATTCTGGACTCAAACCTTTCCTTTCAACCTCATATCAAATCTCTCACAAACACATGCAGACTCCACCTCCGCAATATCGCCAAGATACGCTCCTTCCTTACCCCAGACACCACTAAACTACTAGTACACTCCCTGATTATCTCACGCCTGGACTACTGCAACTCCCTCCTCACCGGCCTACCCCAGTGCAGGCTCTCCCCGCTTCAGACCATCCTGAACTCAGCGGCCAGACTCATCCACCTCACCAGCCGCTCCACCTCTGCCACCCCCCTCTGCCTCTCCCTCCATTGGCTCCCCATTGCCCAACGCATTAAATTTAAATTGCTCACCCTGACCTATAAGGCCATTCACAACACTGCCCCTAACTACCTCACCGACCTGATTCCCAGGTACCACCCTACCCGTACCCTTCGCTCTTCACAGGACCTCCTTCTATCTTGCTCCCTGGTCTCCTCCTCCCACGCACGACTGCAAGACTTCTCCAGGTCCTCCCCCATCCTCTGGAACTCACTACCCCAATCCATCAGACTGTCACCTTCCCTCCTCACCTTCAGGCGCTCCCTGAAAACCCACCTCTTCAGGGAAGCCTACCCCACCCTCACCTAACAGCCGCTGCCCTTCCCTCCTCCTACCACTCCATCCCCCACAGCCGTTTCCTCCTGTGCCTCTACCCCCTCCCTCCTAGATTGTACGCTCGAAAGAGTAGGGCCTTCTAACCCCTCGTGTGCTGTTTGATGTTACTGTTCTGTTTCATGTATTGTCCCCCCTCTATTGTACAGCGCTGAGCAAACCCTTTGGCGCTATATAAACTCGATAAATAAATACTTATCCAAATCCCTGGCACCCTTTTGCTGGACAGCTTGGTCTACATGTAAATGTGTTCAATAATATAAATAAAGGCATATAAGAAATAATAAAGAAACTCATATACTGACTACTATCATCAGAGGTATTAACACCATATAGTTACAAGATATTTTTTTCAATATAGTGGACCTTAATTTTTTTATGACATTCAGTAGGTACTGAACTCACAGGTCCCTAAAAAAAAGTATGAAAGTTATTGCTAAAGGACAAATGCATTTCAATTTCCACTTTGTATTAAAAAGGAATACATAGTGTGTATTTATTTGATTTATCTGAAATGTCTTGCTTATGTTAGGCTCCTTGTAGTGTAGCAATGAGGGAAAAGCAAAACCTCCAGAGTTAAAATTATCTCTGATCAAAAATAGAAGCAAAGTAATATTGCCCGGAGTCACTGTCCAAACGTTTGGCCACAGGATCCATCTTGTAATGGAGGAGCTGATGGGAATGTAGTGTCACAGTCAGACACTTAGAAGGAAGAAAAACATCAGAAGAATTCATAGGACGTTTGTTCTCATACGACTGCTACGCAGAGGTTACAAGGTACAAACCTCATAACATAAAATTCAGCATATTCTGTGTTACAAATTATATGATCATTTGTTGCTACCAAAATACATGTATAACACACAGATATATAGAACATCTCGTAATAAAATGTCATGTTTATTTCAGGCATACAATGTCACACAGATGATGTAAATATACCACTTTTATAACACAATACTATATTTTATAAATAATGCATCACAGGGAAATAATAAAAACTTTATAAATTTCTCCTTTTCTAAGAGATGTAACAAGCTACTGTTTCAAAAACAGATTAACATGGATTTTAGTAATATACTTTTTATAATTAAGTACATATATATTTATAGTAGCAGATACTTAATATTTAAGTCATTGATATTAATAGTAAGTCATGTAACATTTTACATTTATACTGACCTTTGGCCATAGGTACATTGTAGCGGCTGACAAAAAGCTTTCATGTTGGTATCAATGCTGTTTATTGGCAGTTTATCATGGATACAAAGTGATGAGACGTAGATTAATTTAAGGATCGGTAATATAATCCTGCACAGAATATTCATTACCACAAGACCTTATATTGACAAAATCACAGAGAATATTTACAAGATTATTATACTTTGTGTAGATTAAGAAAAAGGGAAACGTTTAGGTAGAGACACTCAATTCTCATAATTAAAGGTCATATTTATAATAAAAAATGTTGAATCTGGCATATTCCTAAAACATGACTTTACTACATTCTCTTCTGCTACTTGTGGTAGTCATACCATTGGGGGGTAAACAGCTAAAGATCTTTGTTTACAATCCTCAATTGCTTTGTGTTGAATGCACACAATGGGTGATTAGAATCGAAGAAGATGAGACGTCCATAGTCAATCTCCCTAGCATATTTGACACCCATTGTAGATGATTTTTTATCCCTCCTTTATACAACAAACTATTTTCAGTCATTATGAAATATAATAAGAACACTAAAAATAATACTAATAGAACCTAAAAATAAACTGAAATTTACCTGAGAGCAAGATTAGGGTACCTCCACTGGATCACTACCACTGGCTCTGCCAAGACTACGCAGGCATGGTTGGACATTAGCGTAATCAGTCTTACAGTTCCTGCACAAATCCACTGAAGTGCGAGCTCTTGCACCCTATACCTGTGTGGAGTGGGTCCACTGCTCTTGGCACACCTCTGTCCATAGTAACCATTGGTAAATGATTATTAAAATGAATGGTTAATCAGCTGAAAATTGTAAATGTAAATGGAGTTTGTGTTGGTAAATTTAGTAATATTGGCCATATATTAGAGATAAGGCTAATGTTGCTGAGACCTGGATTTACCATCACAGAATCCAGATATTGGGTGATGACAGCACAAGGGCAAACATGCAAACAAATGCAGATTGTGAATGTCTGTTATACAAATGGCTAACCTTCCAATGGGCATTTGGTTTTAAAATGTTTCAGATGAATGCAAAATCAATTATTTGCTGCTTTATGCTTTATAAATATGCATCTTGGTACACACGTATACGTCTATGCATACACGTTTGCTAAAATAAGAGGATATAACAAAGGGAACCTGAAGTAGTCATGGGAACACAACACATTGCCATGTTCTTAGCAATGTCAAAATTAATTCTAAAGGGAATTAGAGATTTTTTAGGGATGTTGTTTGGAATCTGCTAGGAGGAAATACTAGGGCTAACTGCTAGAGACCACTGAGAGGCTGACATGGAGTCATATGCAGAAACCATGTCACATCCCCAATGAAATTGGTCACTGGAGGCTCGAAGCAATGGATAGTCAAAGAGTAAACTCTGGTAACAGCTCCCCAACTATCTAGTTAAAATAGGGGTTTGCTTATGGGCCATGGTCTGCAGGCATAAAAATATGTCTAGCATAAAATTTCTGGCATTTTCCAATGCCCAAGATGCCGCAGATGGGCTGTACAGCTGCCCACTAAAGTGGAAAGTCTGTATGCCCCTGTAACCATGTAAATGCTAACATTTCTGTGCATGCAAAGCCTGCATTTGGGAAATAGGTTTATATATGCGTATGCTCAGGTTAACACTGAGCATGAGAAAACACCAGGAATTTTATGATAGGCATATTTTTATGCCCTTTTGCAGTCAGGTACCAGAGGCCATGCAATATAAACTCCTGTATACTCCCTCCAGTCTGCAAAAACACAGGTGCTGCATACATTCGCTCATAGACATGATGGACTGTGTGTGGCTGTACTTGGGTACACATTGGTGCTTGTGTAAACACTCCAATAGGGTATGGCATATTAAAAATGTACTAGCATATAGCCAAGTACACCCATGCACAGGGACTTGTTTTAAAAGGTGCATTTCTGGGGCTGCCATCCTCATCTTTGGTTACCTATTTAGTGACCCCCAAATAAGTATGCAAGTCATGGATCCTAACCTTACACCGTGCATACCAGTTCCAGGTAAGATACTTGTAACAAAGAAAGGAGGAGGATGGTGGTTTTAAAACAGTAGGCAGTAATAGCTCCCATATTTATATTTTGTTAGATTCCCTTGGATTAAAACCATTCATTATTCTTAATACTCTCTTAGGATGGCTGATGTCAAGTCTCACTATGAGCCCTTACCTGTCCATGACCTGCAGCGACTTCTCTGGAGTCACAGATCATCCACAGGACATGTCAACCAAGTATGGCCAAAACTGTACCTGGGAAATGCGTAAGCAGACTGAGCATTCATTTGGGTCCTTTGGCATCCTTTCTGCATATTGTCACTGTAAAAGTTTGAAGTGTGATGTCAAATGTGTGCTTTCAAATCAAAATGTTTTGTATGTCTCTTGTTATGACTGAACAAAGATTTAATTTGCATATTCACTTATTTAAATCTGTTGCTGCTTTGATATTACTAGTGCATGCTATATGTGCATATACAGTCATGGCCGAAATTGTTGGCACCCTTGATATTTCTCCAGGAAATCATGTATTTCTCACGAAACGTATTGCATTAACACATGTTTTGCTATACACATGTTTATTCCCTTTGTGTGTATTGGGACACAAAACAAAAAAAGGGAGGAAAGAAAGCAAATTCGACATAATGTCACACAAACCTCCAAAAATGGGCTGGACAAAAGTATTGGCACCCTTTCACAACTGCGGATAAATAAGAATGTTACAAGCATGTGATGCTCCTGTAAACTCACCTGGGGCAAGTAACAGGTGTGGGCAATATAGAAATCACACCTGAAAGCAGATAAAAAGGAGAGACGTTCACTTAACCTTTGCATTGTGTGTCTGTCTGTGCCACACTAAGCATGGACAACAGAAAGAGGAGACGAGAACTGTCTGAGGACCTGAGAACCAAAATTGTGGCAAAATATCAACAATCTCAAGGTTACAAGTCCATCTCCAGAGAACTAGATTTGCCTTTGTCCACAGTGCGCAACATTATCAAGAAGTTTGCAACCCATGGCACTGTAGCTAATCTCCCTGGTCGTGGACGGAGAGGAAAATTGATGAAAGATTGCAACGCAGAATAGTCCGGATGGTGGATAAGCAGCCCCAAACATGTTCCAAAGACATTCAGCTGTCCTGCAGGCTCAGGGAGCATCAGTGTCAGCGCGAACTATCCGTCGACATTTAAATGAAATGAAACGCTATGGCAGGAGACCCAGGAGGACCCCACTGCTGACACAGAGACATAAAAAAGCAAGACTACAGTTTGCCAAATGTACTTTGAGTAAGCCAAAAGCCTTCTGGGAAAACGTCTTGTGGACAGATGAGACCAAGATAGAGCTTTTTCGGTAAAGCACATCATTCTACTGTTTACCGAAAACGGAATGAGGCCCCTACAAAGAACAAAACACAGTACCTACGGTAAAATATGGTGGAGGTTCAATGATGTGTTTTGGGGTTGTTTTGCTGCCTCTGGCACTGGGTGCCTTGACTGTGTGCAAGGCATCATGAAAATCTGAGGATTACCAAAGGATTTTGGGTCGCACTGTAGGGCCCAGTGTCAGAAAGCTGGGTTTGCGTCCAAGATCCTGGGTCTTCCAGCAGGACAATGACCCCAAACATACGTCAAAAAGCATTCAGAAATGGATGGCAAAGAAGCGCTGGAGAGTTCTGAAGTGGCCAGCAATGAGCCCAGATCTAAATCCCATTGAACACCTGTGGAGAGATCTTAAAATTGCTGTTGGGAAAAGGTGTCCTTCCAATAAGAGAGACCTGGAGCTGTTTGCAAAGGAAGAGTGGTCCAAAATTCCGGGTGAGAGGTGTCAGAAGCTTATTGATGGTTATAGGAAGCGACTGATTTCAGTTATGTTTTCCAAAGGGTGTGCAACCAAATATTAAGTTAAGGGTGCCAATACTTTTGTCCAGCCCATTTTTGGGGTTTTGTGTGAAATTATGTCATATTTGCTTTTCTGCCTCTGTTTTATATTTGTTCCAATACATACAAAGGGAATAAACATGTGTATAGCAAAACATGTGTTAATGCAATACCTTTTTTGTGTGAAATACTTGATTTTCAGGAAAAATATCAAGGGTGCCAACAATTTCGGCCATGACTGTAATATAATATAATAATTATTATTTCAAGAGCTTTAACATAAGGGAAAGACAACCAAATTTAAAGAATGCATGTAAAAATGTACTGCATAGAGCAAGACCTATATTTGGCAAGTTGGGCTTGGCTGGGGCGGAAGGTGTCTTGACCCTCCTCTGAGCCATTGGGACTGTATAATACTGCACAAACTTTCTATAGACCCCAATGGAAATAGCTTTCAACCCTAAGACTTGCAAATAAATGGCTTGTACATTAAGGCCAAACTATACATACACTATACAGCATGGGGTTGTGGGTTCAGAGGAAGATCATCCCCCCTGGTACAGTAGAGTAGGCTGCCATTCTCTCATACTGGGTCACCTGCTGATCTAAGTCAAAAGGTCTATAGCTAAAATGGGAATATGTATCTAGCGTTGTTAGCCTTCATTTGTTTGAAAATACACTTATCCATTAAAAAATATGCATGTTTTCTCACTCATCATATTTGTCGCTCTGTGTGCAGTATTGAAGTTGTGAGCCTTTCCTTGGATAAAGAATTATTCTGAGAGTAATGCTAATGAACTCTCTTCACTAATTTCCCCATTCTCCTGCTTCCCGCGTCTGTTTCCAAAATTCCTATTATTATTTACCCAGCATATAATCAAGCATGCTTTCACTTTGTTGGTATTTTTAAGCATAAATATAATGTTGTATTAGTTATATTTAGATAGCACGCAGTCCTATTTACTCAGGAAAGTTAAAAAGATTCTCCATCCCTTTTATTGCAAAGTGCTGTATGTTTTGCATAAATTTCTCTATGTATCCGTAAACCTTAATGGGGGTACTCAATGTTTTTTCTATCAGACAGCGATCTCATGACTATGATGTAGTAGAATATACTGCCAGCAGTAAGCTATGGGGAAATAGTGATTAGGGTGGGGGTGCAACTATTGAAATAAGGGCTTCAGTATCAAATTTGTTTGCAAGGCATTGTAGCACCTTGCTTCTTTATGAGTCCCAGGCACTTTGTCATTGGATCTGATATGACATCACATGACAAGGGACAGGGGATGCCTTGAGAAGTGTTCTTGACCACTGATTTTAATCAGCACATCCATTCCACACCTTCTGCTTTGTGATGAGTTTATAGGTGGGCAATAAAGGTGGTGCTCAAATCCACCTTGACCCCACTCCCTGGGAAGCAGGGCCTTTTTATATAAGAAGAGGCATTGGCAGAGCTTTTATTAGCTTTCTTGAAGCCTATAAAGTACCATGTAGTTCCAATAAGATCTGTGTTTATTATTCCCAAGCTGGAAGTGAAGGCTCGTTGAAAGCCTGCTAGCACTCAGTTTAATGTTATAGCACCTCTATTAAAATCTGTGTTTAACATCCTCAAATTAAAGCTGAAGGTTACTTGAATGATTAATTCCAGACAGACCACTATCTACACAGAAAAAAATACATATATATGAGCTGTATTACCTGTGAAAGGATTTGTATGTCTGTCCATTCAGATAGGATATTTACACAGCTCTGCCACACAGCCCTGTCTGGCAGGGAGGAGACCTAATTTGTTATTGCTGCAATTAAACTGCACCTGTGCTCAGACTATGGAAATTAAAGATTTACGTATTCTTAGCATGTAGTAAAATATGTATAAAGAAACTCTCACTCATCTCTTTATTTGCTTGCTTGTAATGTGAAGTCCTTCATTCTCAAAGATCCTGAAAGATCACAACAAAGACAGTAAAGTTGGTTCCTGTGTGCAGAATCCCTGGTTCTACCATGTACAGTCAAGTGCATGGCTTTATGAGGCTGTACTCGGGTAAACACTGATGGCTTCTGCATTGGTACTTAGCTGTGCATGCATACATGGACCTTCTCCCCAAATGCAAAAGTGGCGCTTGGGGAGAAGCACCTTACATGCATGGGTAAGTGCCAACGCAAAAGCCATTGGCATTTACCTGAGCATGGCTGCATACAGCCATTCACTTTCACTTGTATTGGCAGCTGTATGCAGCACGTCTGGCATCTCAGGCTCCAGAAGGAGCCATCAATTTTATGCCTCAACACTCAGGAGCTGGTAAGCATCTGTATGTATGGGCCTTAACAAATAACAATTCTATGCTCACATTAAAGTGGCTGCTGGGTAATGCTCATCACCAGTGGTTGCCCTGACCTTGCAAGCCTCACAAAACCTTTGACACTCTGGGTTCAAACATATTTCAGTAGTAGAGAATAATAATACAAGAGACACAATTCTTAGTAGCACCTCTATATTAGACTTGTTCAAAAGAGTAGGCCACAGGAATAATGGGTTTAAAAAGTGCACAACCCAAGTTAAAGCATAAAAGCCAAACACTAGTATATTATAAACAATCAATTAGCAATGTTTAAACAGATTATACAGACATGAGAAGTAAGCTTGAACTATTTAATTGCAACACTGGCAGTAAGATGGGGAAGAGAAGTATGCAGAATAAAATGTAAATGTATACTCTGGCATAAATATACACTATATTGCCAAAAGTATTGGGACACCCCTCCAAATCATTGGATTCAGGTGTTCCAATCACCTCCATGGCCACAGGTATATAAAATCAAGCAGCAAACACAAATGCTCCTGCACTTGGGGATGGACTCAATGCAGGCTACAACCACATTAAGAATGTCCTGGAACATGCACACCTTGCTGCCCTCAAATAGACCGGGGGAATCCAAATATACTGAATGAGGAAAGAACAAACAGAGGGCGCACAGGCCTAGTGCATTACCATAAAAAATGTTTAATAAGAAATAAAGTAGGTGCTGTACTCACAAACAACAATAAAGTCAAGGCACATCATAAAAGAACAACTGGGTCAACACTGCGCTGAGTAACAGTCCGCAATAGGGAGTGTAGACATCCAATAGCTGACGCGTTTCGAGGACTTGCCTCTTCCTCAGCCAAAAAAAAATAAGCACCTAGGCATGCGAACTGCTTCTACAAACATTTGTGAAAGAATGGGTCGCTCTCAGGAGCTCAGTGAATTCAAGCGTGGTACCGTGATAGGTTTGCCACCTGTGCAATAAGTCCATCTGTGAAATTTTCTTGCTACTAAATATTCCACGGTCAACTGTTAGTGGTTATAACAAAGTGGAAGCAACTGGGCACAACAGGCCATGTAAAATGA